TAGTAATAGGAATCTACAATAACAAATTCAACATGCTAGCGTTGTTTAAGTGTATAGTCTATACATCCTTAACAGTCGGCTTATTTTTAATCAATTTTCTTTCGGCCGTGGCCACATTTCAACCGGTGAAACCGATGTCAGGATAAACGATGATAATCGCGTTTAGGTAAATTGCCCGCTGTACGTAACGGCACTGTCGAGCAAATCCGCCGCTGACGTTCTGTCAGCGAAGAGGTCGGAGGGTGTCGTCGTGTTCGGGGAGACTCTCGCGAGTACCGTGGGTATCGATGGTAGCGAACAGTACGGAAAACATATCGAAAAAGCCAGACGTTATATCACTAGCCCACCGTTGAGACCTGATTCCACTACACCTGCCTACTTAATCGAACACCTTGCTCAGTAAGTAATCCAACTTCAGCATTCTACTGTGACACTTATTTTTGTCCCTCGCGCTTGGACCCATCTATTTAGGAAGATCAATGTTTCGCCTTCCGTCTTGGTTCTTTACTTAAAGTTTCAAGCGTTCGCACTAGAGTAATCGACGGATCGTGTAATTTTAAGAGGCGATTAATGAAGCGGGAAGTAGTAAAGCGGCGATCCATCCTCTGCCTTTCGCTGTTTATCTTTTTTCGAGTGGTTCAAGTACTTACCCATTCGTCGTATCAATTGGCTGTATTCGAAAACGTAACGCAGGACAACTGCCGATGAATAGATGGAGGATAAAATAATGTTCAGACTGTATTGCGTGTGTTCAATATTCAAATGACGGTGATAAATTACAGCAACAAATTGGCACGCACGATATAAGGCTAACTGAACGTAATTCTAATAGGCACCGCGTGGGAAGCCGCGTTTGTCTAGCTGCTAGTATTGAACTTAATTAAATGGGCAGAAGAAAACTAGTTTAGAGATCATTCTACGGTCAGCATAAAATTTCAGTCGACGGATCTATTATATCTTTGTATTCTACACGTTATTAAATTATCGTAGCTTATCAGATGTCAAAGTGGCCTTCGTTTCTTAAAATTAATTTCTTAATACATCATAAATTTGCAGATTAACATGACTTTGCGAATAACATTTACATGAAAAGTGCAAACTAATTCCAGCACGCGGTACCGTCTTTCATTCCTTTTGCAACTTATTTTATTTTATCAGAGATGGTCTTCAAGTTACTGGCAGCGATAACTGTACTTTCAACGCCGAGCAAAAGGCGCTCGGTAAGAACGATTTTTCCAAGATACCCAACGGCGTGAACGGCGTCGAAGACCGGATGTCGATCGTCTGGGATAAAGGGGTGCACGCAGGTATTATGGACCCGACGAGGTTCGTTGCGGTGACCAGCTCCAATGCCGCGAGGATCTTCAACTTATACCCGCGAAAGGGAGTGATAGCAGTCGGCTCAGACGCTGATATAGTCGTCTGGGACCCCAACAGGAAGCGTACGATTTCCGCTAACACACATGTCCAGGCCGTTGACTTTAACATCTTCGAGGTAAGGGCTCGTCGATATTAATAAAGCCTTTGTTGCTGCAATATCGAATTTATTTTCCTTCTATCTTGCCGGCCCACGCGACGCAGGAAGTTTAATCAAACCAACTTGTGTACAATAAAGAAAAATCAAATAATAAATCTTACATGCATCACATACTGGCTACGTGCTAATTTTTACGTCGGGTCGTACAACATGATCTTCAATAGTTGTTATGAACTTGACTTTAACTACTCGATATTTGATATCTCGCTAGGAATTTGATCTTAATCTGTTCCAGGGTATGGAAGTTCACGGAGTACCAGAGTATGTTATTGTAGAAGGACGTGTATGCGTGGACGAATGCGAAGTAAAAGCAGTCCATGGTTTCGGCAAGTTCGTCGAAACTCCGAATAACAACGATTATGTATATAATATGATCGAGGACAGAGAGAAGGTACGTTCCACCTTCGGTGATGTGTAAACATCAAACGTGATAAAGTACAAAGCCAACAATACTTTCTAACCACCGGCAAATCGGCTCAAATCAACATCCGAGGTCATTGTTTGTTCAGAGACCGCGCGGTGTGCCAAGGTCCGAAGCCGAGGCGAAGAAATTCGCCGAAGAGGACGCGGCCATTGCGAAGGCCAAAGAAGAAGCGAGAGCGGCGGCTGCGGCTGCGAAATCTATTCCTCAGCAAAATGGCACTTACTCGAGCCCGAAGCCGAAACTTTCGATGCCTGATTGCATGGCGACGTTGCCGGATTCTGCCGTGGTTACGCCATCGTCGAAGGGTCCGCGGTTGGAGGGTCAGAGAAATTTGCAAGATTCCACTTTCTCTATTAGCGGTAAGTAATTGATAAGGGATTAAACTATTCCACAGAGTTCATTCGGATACGGTGAAGGATTTTAAGATGCAACGAGTTGGTAGAAGCGACATTAGAATTGTTTGTTCACAGAGGACGTCGACGAAGGAAGAAGAGCTTGCATCCGCGTGAACAATCCACCCGGTGGTCGCAGCGCGGGAGGTTTCTGGTAATTTATACAAAAAGAATGCTCCGCTTTGCATACAGGGGGTTTATCTTTAAAGGAAGATAAAATTGATGAAATCCTTTTTCTCTTCACCAATCCTTCTATTCGTGCATACATGAAAATACTTCCGCGTTTCTGTCGTCATTTCTACATTGTGATTGTTTTCTATCAGTCCGCTTTCAGGTTCGCTAAATCACTCGATTTGTTAATGACATGTTTTTAAGTTGTTTTTATTTGATATGTTCTCATCGATTAAGGTCTGTTCCGTCAAAGGAGGGCTCGGACACTATCCGTCAGTAGAGTGTACGTTCGTATTCTCATGTTTCACCACACTTTTCGCTTCGTTCATTGCTTCATTGCCCGCCCTATGTGTATCGTGCGCTTCATACTTTGACCTTGGATCATTCACGCGACGTCCAGAGATTCGCACGTTTAATTCTGCGAAACTTTTGTCCTTCGTGCAATAGAACATCGATTGCCGTTTCCAATCGATCAAATATTTATGTTATCATTTATTATGTTTTCTTTGTGTAATAAGTCTTCGTTTTTATGTGTACATTAGATGAACCGTGGAATTGTCCGACAATTTGATACGTATACGCTTTGTATGTTTTTATTTTTACAGAAATGTACAAGCTTAGAGGGTGAGATTATTTTCATTTTGTGGGACTTGAAGAACTTTTTTTTTGTAAATTTGTAGAAAAATGTTTGATATATTATATTTGGTAATTCCAAGGTCAAGCTTACGAACAAGTTATTTATTACATATACATGTGCATGTGTATGTTGTACGTATGCACATGCATAAATGACATACGCATGCACAATAAGATAAACCGAAAAAAGAAAGAAAAATACAATGATCGCGATCAGTTCCCACTATTCGATAATGCTTTGGACAACATCTTAGAAGCTTTGTATTAATCATTGTTGATCAGTTGTTACCGTGACTTCAGTCCATATCGTTTGATAATTTATGTAACACCGATGAACAGAGCTCATCATCAGTTTCATCTGTTGCTTTGATGACGTAAAATATTACATGTCCGGCGTACATATTATACGCTGAACGCGTTTCGCTCTCATTCGACCAAGGTTTCTCCATTTCATGGACATAACATTATATTTTATACCGCTCTATCGTCAGCCTCTGAATCGAACAGCATGACGTTAATTTTTAGAAAGCCAGTCGACGATTGAAACAGTAATAATAATTGTTCTATTTTCTGACACAATCTAGCATTATATTTCGGTTAATTATTATCGTTAATTCTAATGGTGTAAATATTAAAGTATCTTTAGTTTAACGATTGTTTGACGCAAAGGATTATGTAATCGTGTTATATACTATATACAGAGTTACATTTTGAATGGATTGATATACATAGCTCAATTATTATACACGAGAAACGAAGTTTGCGAGTTGATATGATTGAGAAAGTTGGGAGATCTTTCGATCAATTACCCTGTATTTTTATCACTGTGAAACACTGACGAACTTACAATACAGTTGTAAAATGATCTTGGAATAATAGAGGCGTGCACCATATTCTAAAATTATAGTCGCACGAGGATTTTCGTTTTAATAACGTAGGACATAAACTTGAAAATTAATTTCTTGTTGCTTTGTTCATGTGCAAAACAGGTAAAAAACTGCTGGTGCGAACAATAGTCTAATTAAATATTAAGTGAATTACGCACAAATTCGCAAATAGACAAATAATAGGCGAAGACACTAAAGAGTTTGACAACACCGTACTGAAGACAATTGTGCTAATGAGAATGCATTTGACAAGAACGCACACTTGTTCGCTTATGATTGTTGTTAAAAACTTCATACGGAAGATTAACGTATGGAGTCATTTAGCAATACTTAATTTAATTAACTCACTTTTCCTTATTCTTTGATGTCATGATCCTACATTCCAACTGTTCGACGTGTTAAAGGGATTGCCGATTCGTTTTCGTTTAAAATCTATCTCTGGAAGGAACAGCTTGAGGCGCTTCTATAGTGAACCGTACTTGTTTACGAAAGTAAAAATTAAGAATAATGATTTTAATAATAATAACGTTAAGGATAAACGATATTAAACAATAATAATCATCCACTCATAATAAATATTCATTACGTAATTACTAATCGTGTAAGATGGCCGTACACTGAGAACTTACAAAGCTTGTTTGAACTACTCGTAAATGACCAAAACAAGCGTTGGTTACCATTGTAATACAATAGTCACGAAACTGTCAACTATAATTAATGACGTGATACACTTTTCGGATAAGACTTATAGATCAAATGTAGAAAACAACGTTCGGGAGTTTCTCGACGTAAGTAGATTTTATATTGAAATTTGGCGAAAAATTTTTAAGAGTTTTACGGGCATAGAAAAGGGCGTTTCATTAAACCTTTCGATGATTTGTGAAATAGGTGCATATATAGATGAATCGTAATAATTATTTGAAGGAAACAATAATTACGTTACCAAGACGTTCATTATTGTTGCCTTTGAATAATAATTACCTATCTGGTTGTGTGTATGATTCCATAATAGTGCTTAGAACTTGATTTTAACCGAGAAACATATTTCATTTTATTACTTCGTTTCCGATGTTATGTTGTATGGTTGAATGAAAACACGTTGTCTTCATTAGTTTTAATGGTTGTCAGAACAATTAACATTTATTGCGCTTTTTCATGATCATTGTGTACGCATTACATTCGTTCTACCTTTTAAAAAGTTTCAACTACAGTATTCGATGCGTGGAACATTGTATTCGTGCACTATTACAAAGTTTCTATGAGAATTTGTTATTTCGATTACATAAACATATTGGAGCTTTGCGACTTTTACCTTTATAAAACAAAAACCAGAACAAAACTATAATTATCAATGTGTTCACGTTACGTGACCTCGAGTCGAGTATTCGAAAGAAATGTATAGTTTATCGATATAATAAGTGATACAGCTAGAGTACCTATTTATGTCTGTTATAATGTATGTGATCGCTTGAAATAAAAACCTGACATCAATATTAAACTGATGGTGCCGAGATTAAATTTTTGTAACAGAACTGTTATTTTATGGGAAATGAAATAGTAGAGAAAGAGACAAGCGGTACTGTTATTAATCTCATTATTTAAACGTTTCGTCTGTAAAAGTATGTGAACACGGAGGAAAGTAGCACACGTTGTATTACTAACAGTTCACAAGTTCATCACAGTATTTTACAAGAGTGGTAACATTAGTATCACTCAGTAATAAATCTAATTTAATATTACATTTTACCATATACATACGTTCTAAACATATGTATAATTCTTAAGTTAGGCTTTTAATGCTTTAGGAGTATTAAATAGTCAATGTTTCATCAGTCCTCCGCTCGGTGCCGAGCTTTTGCTAATATTTGCTTCAACTCGGATGGTCGCTGTCTGTTTTTCTATAAATTTAACATGAAAATATCAAATTAAACATTTGAGATCTGCTGATATTTTATCACTTACCTCGCTTTCGACTCGCGCTAATGAAATCTGACTGTAGAGTTTACTACCTTCCCCAACATCGCAGTGTTGCTCTAACTGTCGTTTAGTCAAATTGAACACGTCCGAACCGGTCATGTCTCTTAGCTGTTTGCAAACTCTGAAAAGATTTAGTTCTCAAATATCCAGTTTATCGAATTCCCAAATCGAAGAATATTGTATCATACTTCTCTGAGAAGCCCTTGGCAATCAACCAGTTCTGTACTTCTCTGGGAGTAGAATAATGATCCAAGACGGGATCACGGTTCATACTGTCATTGTAGTGACTCTTCTTTGAGCGGAATATCGATAATACCTGTCTCAGTTCTTCTTGCATTTGCTTTTCCGTTTGCTCTGAAAGATATACCACGTGGAAAGAAAAATGTTAAACATAAAATTGGAAGCCTCTGACTATTACCAGCTATTGAGTGATTACTCTTCAGCGTGCTCGTTCTACTTGAAATAGTTGAGGAAAGGGAAGTTTGACTTTGTAACTGGGGTGGAGGAGGTGGTGCCGGTGGTGCCGATGGTACTGACGATGCCGATGGCGCCGATGGTGCTGATGGTACTGACGATGCCGATGACGCCGATGGTGCCGATGGTGCCGATGGTGCTGACGGTACTGACGATGCTGAAGATGCTGGCCGTACCGTTGATGCTGACGATGCCGAAGGTACTGGCCGTACACTTGATGTTGACGATACCGAAGTTACTGGCCGTACTATTGATGCTGACAGTGCCGTTGATGCTGGCACTGCAGTTGATGCTGGCAGTGCCGATGGTGCTGACGAAACCGATGATGTTGGCGGAGTCGACTGTGTCGGCGTTTCGAGGTTTACATTTGGAGGCGGTGGATGAACGACCACCTCCGCCACCTCTTTAGACTCCTTATTAATGCTTTTAAGTTGTACTCCGAACACCGTTTTGTTGCCATTACTGGACTTTGTTTCAGTGGAATCGTCTGAAATACAATTGACATTATCTGCGATAATATTTAATGGTATTCAAATAGTAGGTTGTACAGACATTAAAACACTTGAACGGACTTACCCCAACATTCTTGAAAAATATAATCACTAAACACTTTCCAATTGGACGATTACATTAAGCACACTTTAAGCAAACGCAAAGGGATGACAGTAAAAATACTGACGAATAGATAACAAACATAGTTTGCCTTTTTTTTAAGTAGTACACGTTTAATTTACGATTAATCTACCAAGATAGGCCGAATACTTATACAAAGAGACAGGCTTAATCTGTAACCGAGTATATTTATTAATCAAGTGATGTACATAAATTACAGTGCAACGAAATACTGGACGGATTGTAATCCCCATCCCGTGGACACAAAACAAGTAAAAGAATTAAAAAAAGAGATTTCGTTCGATCGAGAAGTGATTAACAATAGTGTGTCGTATTTTTATTATCAATTACAAAGTGTCCCTCGTGGAAGAATATTCACGGTTCATAGAGACTTGCTCGCATCGTTAATCATAATCGTTAGATCATAATTAGAACATATTAAATATTAAATGGATGTAAAATAGTAATTTCGAGATCTAATTTGCAAGCATCGTTGAACAAGTTTCACCTACATGATTTCTTCTGTCTAATTTCCTTAAGATCGACTAATCACGGTAGCTTTTGTCGAGAACGGCTCTGTCATTGATTTCCGTGTATAAATAATTGGATATAAGAATAAATCGATAACGCCTACGGTGATTGCGCATTATCTAAACCCTGCTGTTTCCGCAAAATTTTTCACAATAACGAAGCAATGTAATTGAGTACGCAGAGTTCATTTTGCTTTCCTCTTAAGTACAACGACGCTAGAAGAGTGACAAACAAATTGCAGTAATTAATGTTGATTGTCGTCGTATCTAAATTAGGGTCCGATATGGAAGTTTTATGTGGCGATACGTAGAAGGAGAATCGAGAGACCTCAGGCTCAGGAATCTTCCTCTTCGCCCCGCTTCCCTTCCTTCGCGTATTTGTACAAGCTTATTCACACTAATGCGTACAAATGCATGCGACGACACGTACAAGCATTAAAGCTGTTAATAAAAAATAAGTCGTAACAGTCCATTAAACGCGTGAACCGCGAAGAGCATTCTCATCGATCATTCAGAGGAAATTTTTAATCAACAGTTTTCATTCGACCAGCGACTAACTTTTTCTCGCAATGAAGCCGATGTAGTAATAGTGGACAGGCTAAGAAACTTCGCCACGATCTCTCGGCAGAAACGTTGCACAGAAAAATTTGTTTAGTTCAAGTGGACTTGGGTATTTAATTTCAAACGAGAAACTACTACTTACAATCTTTTATGATTTAGAAGCTTAACCAGTTCACTTGACTCAACGCTTTTGTATTAAAATATTTTTTAATATATAACTATACATATTCTCCTTTCTGTTAAGTATATGTATATATAATATATTTATACTAAGATTTGGTTAGTCGATAAATATAAAAAATATGGTATCATCCCTACGATCGCTATAAAAAGGTACGGTATTAAGATGCACTTATTTCTGACGGATTTCTGAAGTAACAATAGTTTCAGTTCATCTCGAAATTTTCTATATAAATGCCAGTTAATAGTACATATACTATAAATTAATATAAAGAAAAAGATCTCGTTCCGTTCAATATCAAAAAGATTTGTTCGTTGGATACAGCGATAAAGTAAGTTCTATTCTATTAGCCATCGAATCTTTTCGAGTCATAAGTAACTTCCATTTTTTTTATCAAACACTTTCCCTAATTTCTCCAAGTGGCGATTGACATTTGATTGTGAAATTGTGATGTGTTCAATTTTTCTACTATACCTCTTGTTGATTCACGTGAATTTTGTTTGACTATTCCCTTTAAAAAGTTGTCGTCAAAGTAGGAAGAACGTCTCGCCCTCGGTTCGTTTTTCAAGGTCGTATCTCCAGAACGGAATTTCATAAACCAATCTTTAACTACCCGATCAGTTATTAATCCTTCACCATATAAACTGCATATTTTGTCAGCTGTGGCCTTAGCACTATTGCCTTGTTTAAACTCCCAAAGCATTACATGACGAATATGCACGTTTTTACTCTCCATTTCAGTATTAAGAAAAACAGTTTAATGTAACGCGCATCACACAAAACAGTTGACAGAAGACTAACACAACTTTCGTTTATACCGTGAACAGACAAATTCCTTTTTCCCAGTGACTCATAATTGGAAGATATGAACAATTTTTACTCAGCTGCATAATAGGAAGTTAATTATGACTCGATCTAATATCTCGATGATTGTGAAATTATATTTTTGATTAGAAAAGTTGTTTCTGATAAAGACACAGTCTTATCGTCTGATTCATCGCAGTAAACTTCAATTGCTATACAATTTACGTTTTACTTTTCAAAATTCTTCACGATATCTTTGAAAATCGAAATATTTGCCATAAATTATGTTAAAAAGAAACTTTGGATAAGACCGAAGAACATGGAAAACTTGGAATCACAAGTGTAATGATTCGTCCAGTTATACCTTGCCCCTATTGCGATAACGATTGTTGGCGACTCGCCCTAGATATTATTTGCACATACCTCTTCATATATTTATATAGTATATACAAGTAGAAGAAACATGGTGTTGACATAAAAAAATTGAAACCATAAAATGCTGACGAAGACAAAATGCGCGGTTTGAGACACAACATAAATGCCGTGGCGCCAATATATTCGGTGAATTATTGATCATTTCTAACGTGGCATGCTTTATCATCCAGTTGGGGCTATCGAGGAATGAAGAACCTTCGATAGCCTCGACTGCAAGCACCCGAGACGTGAAAGCCTCAACCATTTTAACATCAACTGTTTGGGTGGTCTACTTTTGTTAAATCTCCCCGATATGGACGACCACGACTCACAAGTTATTCTATCGATTCGACATCTCTCCGATCCCTCAAGCAACGGACAAAACTATGCGACTCTGCCCTTGTCGCTAGATAGCTTAAAAGTATCGGAATTCACCTTTTTTACCGAGTCTCTCTTTCCTCACCCAATCTACCGGCGCTGGTAAAGGAACCGCGTGCGTTCGGTGAGTAGCTTCCGGTCCTGGACTAGTGCTGGTCCTCTCGATTTCTGAGTCCTACACATTTCAAAAAAAATTTTTATTGTCCTGCAATGAAAGTAAATTCGCAAAGAACGAACAGAAAATAATTCTCTACGGACAACGCCTGGGAGCATAGTTTCGCAATAGTAATTACTCTTTCTCTCGAACGAGGTCTTTGTAACAATTCCAGCGTAATTGCTTTTCTAAGGGTGCAGAAGCTGTAGCGACTCTCACCTCGTAATTATAACCGTGCCCCTGCCGCGGGTATCTGCTGGTGTATAGAGGATTGTTGAAAACGTCGTTGTCGTTTGAATTGGTGGGATTGTGAGGCGTGACGATGGTGTGCGGCACGTGCGCAACCTGCCCTCTTGAATTCCTTGCCTTCCACCATTTCCTGCTGTCGTCGAGAATCTCCAGGTATTCGCCTCTGACGACGGTCAATTCCTTGTCGTTATTCGCCGTCCTCGGATAGGTAACTTGCACGATTTTGACGTGTCTAGCTACCAAATCGTCTAGCCAAGCTTCCTGTGCTCTTTCCATACCAGTGGCTCTCGGTGTTCTCTCGATAGAATCCACGGATATATCGCTATGCGCTCTCGTTTGATCGACCACTCTCTCCTCCCTACCGTACAGCTCAGAGCCGGGCCCGTAATTCCTATCAAAGTATTCGTTACCGGCACGCTCCTCCCTGCTTTCATACTCCAAGTAGTCGCTGCTGTAATGGGACTCGTCTACTTCTCGGTGATTGTAGTACGGATCGTTTTGCTGCTCCGGCAGTTCGTCCCTTTTCTGTTTGTCGGCGTTCAACAGAGAAGCCAGGTGATCGTGATCTCTGTCCTCCGGAATCGGGGACCAGCCGTCCAAGAACACAGGGTGGTAAGGGGGTACGTGCCCCTTCCATTGATCACGGGGTATCAACCACGTGTCGCCCAGGGAATGCCAAAGCTCCGTCTCCTTGCTGGTTACGCAATTGATCAACAGGTTGACCGCTTCTCTGGTCAGCAACGGTGATACTACTTTGCTTGGCAAGTTCGGGTCGTAATTTGTATCGTGGGACGCGTCCACGATCAGAGCCAGAGGAGTGAAAAGGAAATGGACGAGTTCGGGAGCGTTGGGATCGTGAATGTGGGCCTTCAGTTTAGCCAACAGGTTGAACGATAGCTTGAACTTCTGGAAGATGTCGATGAATTCTATCTCCGGCGGCGGCTTCGCCCTCATGGTCAACATCCCGTCGCCCATCCTCTTCTTCGACTTCCGGTTGCGCCTTCGACGTTCCAGCTCTTTGGAGGCAGCCGCCGCGTGCTGCAGACGCGCGATAAATTTCTCGATGTCGTCGAAACAATGGTTCAGGATGGTCACGTCACGTTCATATTTCTCAGAGGACGTCGAGGACACCTCGTCGTTGTTCTCCTCGCGAGATATATCGTTCTGGCCGTCGGCTGTGTTACAGGAAAACGGACGCATCGAATTACTCCATTTTGTACGAGCTTCATGAAATATTCAGCAACAAACAAAAAAATAGAGACGAAAGGAGGGGTACCATTGTTAGCGTTAAAGGCGGACACTTGCTCCCGGACGTTGACCCCGTTGAGGGGTGGTTCCGGTGGTGGTAAAGTGGGAGGCGGTGGTATACGACCCCTTGGGCCTCTGGGTGAACCGCCCGGGACCAATTTACCCATTTGCAGCATTTTGAGGTCCTCGACGAGGTCCTGAGCCGAGACGCTTTGACACTGGAATATATGCATTTCTGCCCGTTGACCCGAACCGCTGTCATCCGCCACTGTGAAGACGAGAATGTTGTTATACATCTCCATAGGGTCCCTCGACGTGAACGCGGTCGGTTCCTGTATCAACGACGCTGGGAATCGCTCCATGACGGCCTGCATACGAATTTATCAACGATGCATTAAGTGAAATTGCCACAAGTCGTACATAATGTTCATTTCAAAAGTGTCCCACTTCGTATTTCGTTCATTTATAACGATCATCACAGTAATGAAGTTACGGTATCGTTTATTCTCTTCGCTGAAAAGAAGGCCGCGATTAAAGCGAGGTGTAAAAAGGCTATGGCCCCGGACCTCCCTTAATCGCTGCCTGCTAAAAAGCCAAGAAAGCATCTTTGTGTCTTTGAAGAGGTCTCCTTACCCCCGTCTCGTTGTCCATGATTAATACCCAGTTCCGTTCTAAACGGAGCTGCATCTTTTGGCTCCATATGCCGTTACTCTTCTCCAACTGCAAAAGTCGCCGCATACCGTCTGCTGGATAAACAATACCGGTTTCCTTCGTGACCGTGAACGTGGCCAAATGCTCCATCATGTACGTCGGCTCGGAGCTGCTCACGCGGCCGCCCGATGTGCTCGACGGACCGCTGGACCCACCATCTGACGCATCATTGTTAATTTGGTCGTTAGCAGTTTCAGTAATTAATCAAATGACTCGGCTGATATCGCGATAAACCTCGACATTGACGGGTAAGAAATTGGAAAAGCAAAGCAGGTAACGAGGATTCGTCAATCCTTGCAAGCTGCTCCACTTGCAAGAACTAATTCACCTTTATTAATTGTAAGTCGCGTGATTAACGTTAAGTCAATATATACCTTTGTTGTAAGTGGACGGGCTGTGTCCACTGTTGTAATAGGGCATCGCGACCGAACAATGCTTTTCCCTTTATCTGCAACAAATAAAAAGTGACCGGTCTTCAACGTTGGTTCATTTCTTGAGGGTGCAGATTTCGTAATGTACAAGACTTCTTAACGAATTATCGAGAAACGATGTCGTAAAGCCTCGGCAGGCTTACGGTTTAATAAGTTAATGACGGAGACGGGCGATAGTTGCACGTCGCCGTATCGTATCCGGCTACCGGGTCATGGGGACCATACTTGGCGGCACGAAAGCCAGCGTGTATCCAAAGTGAAATTCCAATGAGCCTAATTCGCTCGCCAGACATGTCGAGAATTCCTTTCGCGTGCCTTCTACTTATCGGACCTCAGCGCCCGAAGGTGCGATCCCGCGGACACAATGGGCCAATAAATATTATTCATTGACACACGCTTTTGCAGAAAGGAGCGTCGCGAAACGAGCATGGCGCCAAAACGCAAGTATCAGTGAAATAAATCGTCGAAGAATTCTAAGGCGGATCATGGTTGAAACGAGATGGGGCCCTTCGCTCCATTCCAAAAAGTTCCTGACACGGGATTTGAACTGCTTCAATTTCTGTTTGCTACCAAACATGAATAATGCATAGTTTTTTGTATTTACGTTTAGGTTTATGGAAGGTGTCGTTCACGTATTTCTATAGCTATGAATGGACTTCGTAGTCATTCAAGTTCCTAACTTTATTTGTATTCCTTGACTGAACTCTGTTGTCATCCTATTAGATTACCTACGATTAATTTTTGAAACGCGCCGCAAAGGAATTATACAAAGTTTACTCTACCCGACAATTTTAATTCCCTTCGAGATTCTTGTTTTATTTTTTACATTGCATCGAGACAAACTGAATCCTGTTTCTCCTTATAAAATATACAACATAATAGATACGTTCTCTCTTCGGGCAAATAGAGAAACTATGAAAATGGCTCGAATTTTTGCATAGTTATGTGCCAGGAATGTGAAATTCTGAATTTGCTCCAAGAGAAATTTATTTGATTTCGACGCTCGGCTGTGAGCGTCTAGCATCCATACGGGCACACGCAGCCGATTTCAACCAGGTGTTGAATAAAAGCTCCATGCGGGTTTAGCGGGATATTTCGATCGTAAATGTCGTCGATTGTCCAACAAGTCGTTTACCCTTTGACGAGGCATTATTTAAAAGAAAATCTTGTAAGATCTTTAAGTATCAGATGCTTGAACGATAAAATAAGACGATTTCCCAAGAACGGTGATTGACCCATTTACATCAGACACTGCCGGTCATAAAACTAATAATAATAATAATAACGATACTACATTTCCAATAAATCTTTTTATAATACCTGATGTAGTAATTGATACGATGTTACATTTAATAATTTTTAATACAATCGATATAATAAATACAAACGAGTACTGAGCCATTATAAACTACTTGGATGAGACAAATTGTGAGTGTATATATGCTAATGATGCAAATGGGTTAAACTGTTTATGAAGGATATTTGATTGCTCTACGGGTGGAGTAATATGTGAATTAAGTCCCTTCTCAGTGCCCTTGGGTCGCGTACGATTCTTCACGCGCCTTCCCACGTGCTGGGAGCACATTGACTTTAGAACGCATGATTTATCCGAGGCAATCGGTAAGAACGGTGAATCTTACTGATGCCTAGACTAATACGGCTCTCGTGCGCTTGTGAAACAGCGATTCATCGCTGTTTTCAACCTCTGTTTGTTATTATTCTTCTATGAAATATGTATGCGCGTTGATTAGTTCTGTATAAAAAGATTTAGATTTTAATAGGCGCGGTTTAAGTAAAGGCGTCGAGTGTAATTAATTTAATCAAATTAAAAAGAACCTAGTTTCTCTTCGTTCAATGTTCAGAGGCGGTATCTAATTTACACGATTAACCAGATTTCGAAGCCGGGCCGTAACTAACGATCATTTTCTAAAGTTGTACCGGACAACCGGGGAAACCGATTCGATAAGCCGAACACGACTGATCGACGTACTCAGACGAAAGATTTAACGTGGCTCGATCCCGGTCTTTCCGGTTTTTCTCACCGTAGACGCAATGAAACTACGGTAAAAGCAGCTGGAACGTAGGTAATTAATATTCGGAATCTGAACGTGGAAACGGCGCCGCGCCGGTTCCTACCCAGCAGATAAACGTTCGAAGTTCGAAGGCGAATGCTTTCACTGTGTATGCCCGTCGCTGGTATTAGGCACGCTGGGAATCCGCATAACGGAGAAGGCATTGTTACACGTTCCTATCAAGTGTAACGATGCTGTTTCGTCTAGTTAATGCCGAGAGAGTCCAGCCGCGAACAAGGTGTCCGAAAAAATGAGCCACTTTTCCTCTTCATTCGGTCCCGTTCCGTATCGTGATTTCAGCTTCATCAGTTTTTAGTTTCGAATAGCTTACCTGATCGTCACAACCAGACTGCGTACTTCAAAACATTTGTCGTATGAGTAAAACAAATTCAATATCATTTAAGGATGTATTGGCTATACAGTCAATCCCAAAAGTTGTATGTACTTTAGAAACGCATTTTTTAAAAAGAAATCAGACGTCGGAAGAAGATTGCTAATA